CAAATTATACAAATATACAATATGCATTTAGACAGGTGCTACTATATAAAGTTTGTTAATCAACTACTGAAATACAATAACACCACCAAACTTTCTTGGCCACAACTCACTATATACAGGAATAATTTCTTGGGTTCAAAGTCCAACTGGTTTAAAATATTTGTAAATATCAAAAACCTGTCTGGATTACATGGTCCAATACCAAATTCTAAGACAATGTTTTGGTTCTTGCACAGTATCAATGCAATTGTCAAAACTTACAAAAGATATACTTTTATAGACAGAAGAACACTACTTAGAGGAAAACATTTTACTATAAATTCTGATAATAATCTCACTAGATATTCAGGCTGTCCAATTGATACACCCTCTTATGGTTTCTGTTGAATACTATTTACAAGTACATTGGTCTTTACACTGTTATCAGAAAATTAACAATAGGGGGAGGGACGCGATATGTGGGGCCCGGTGCAGCGCCGCACGGGGCATTAATCATGCATCACTCATGCATGATTGATAGGCACAGAGTTTGGGAAAGTCTGTTGGGTTTGCATGACGCGACGATAGATTAGGGAGACGCGTCGCAACTGTTTAAATAGCAACTGTACCCAGAATAGAAAAAACACAAGTTGAATTAATAAAATCTGTTTCCTAAAAAGACCAAGTGATTGTATAGTGTAACGATAATTAATAAACTTACCTTATTTGCCTTTTAGTCGTCCTAGAGAAGATCCGTCACCCTATAGCTTGACAGGGGAGATCAGAAGAGGAGACTAATCAAACAGAGGGGAAGATTAAGATAACCATCACTACACATACCTTTGGTATCGCCAGCAACACAGACCCATTCACCCAACATAGCATGAGTCCTGGTTCGGATTAGCAACAGACTCGCTGTTGAGGACAACAACACTAAAGACTTCTTTTAATCCTTCCAACAGATTCAAATATTATTTATTTAATATAATTGATGAAGTTGTCAACTTACTACCAAACAATGAATACATTCTTCAAAAAGTTAATATTTCTACCAATTATTCTTCTCAATCACTATTACAAAATCTCAGTTCACAACAATATTATCAAATCCAATCACACAAAAATAGTTTATTTATAAATAAGATCAAAGTAAAACCACCTAACTTCTGTTTACTATCAGGTAACACTCTACTTGCAATCTTTAATAGCATTTAGTGAATTTCAGTTCACTTCATTATCAAAATCAAAAACAACAAAAAAATCTTTCAATTAGTATTTGAGTATTTGAGAAAAATGGTTAAAATTAACTTTTTCTTATTATCTTAGAGAATAAATTGATATATATAACAAAAATTTATAAAAATTGTATATTCCAAATTAATATCAATCAGAACTATTCAATGGAACAATTCATTACTACACTTTTTTAAAAATTCTCTAATTAATAACACTTGTCTGGATAGTAGTGTTAGATGGTGCAAGAAAATTTTTAATATCATCAGAGACTATATAGTGTGTGAAAGCTCCTCAGTTGTTCAAACATTTGGATGAATACATATTCCATATGATTTAAAAGTAAGGATCTTAATAATTCTTTTTGATTCTGTATTTGATTCTCAAGTTTATATTAAATTTAATAGGTGGGGTATATTCCATTATCATTTTTAATAGTGTTTCAAACCTCATGCGATTCTCTGCAATTCTATTTGATTTCAATTTTTAGAACCATATCTAAAAGTCATTAATCAATTCAACAAAAATATTAGAAAGCTTCATAACAACAAGTACAATATTCTAGTAGCCTTCAGAATCAAATTGCTTTTAGGAACTCTTCCATCTTGTTTTACACTTCATCAATTATACTCTAATCAATACCTAGATACTTTCTGTCCATGATATGAATTTCACACTGAAGATATTCAACATGTTTTTATAGTAAGTACTCAGAAGCATCACAAGTAACTAAACAAATTATTAAAACCATTAATCAGACTCTTCATTCAAATAATAATTATAAACCAATTTCATATATATAGCAAATCATTAAATTGTCATATAGAGTCATAGACAAAATATTCTTCATCTTAACTCCTACTAACTGGATTAAGGCAGCAATAGAATTTTTAACTTTGTTATATAATCTAATTTGGAAATCATGTTGCTCCACAGCTAACACCTTATCCCTTACTGGAATCAAGTGGAACCATGTCAAGTTATATAATTCAATCAACTCCATTAATTCAGAAATCAAAAAAACTCTGCAAACCAAAGACAACTCCAATAATTCACAAAACAACACTATTATTGATTTACTCTCTACTGTTGCTAACTTATTTATCCAATCTAAATATAATTATTCCAAATATATTTATAGTTTAACAATTCTATCTACCAATTTCAATTCTATTTTTCCTAATACCGAATAGGTATTCATAGCTACTTGGTGCTATTTGACAAATTATATTGTTTTAAACTTTCTTTTCAATATTAATTATATAGTTACTGTAGGCAAGCTAACATTTAAATCATTGTATCAACACATAAGAGATGTTGTTTCTTTTATGATATATACCATGTTATATACAAATCAAATAAAGAAATGATGTTTACATACTTAAAAATATATATATATATATATATTTAATAATAAATAAATACAATGATTCATAGTTTCATTTTCTTGTCTTTCGTTCAACATATTTTGTTATTTCTTTCTTGTAACTTTGATTATTAATACTATTACTTAATATTTCCTTAACATATTTTCAATATATAATCAAAATTGATTTTTTTAAAAACCTATAAAAAAATTAAGGATATTATATATATATATATATTTCAATTATTAATTTAAAATTAAATAATTTTACAGGTTTCTAATATTATATATTTATATATTGTAATATTTGATTATAATAGATATTATATATCTTAATTCAAGAAAAATATTTCTATTATCTTTATTATCTAATAGTAAGATTTTAAATTAATATCAAAATGATATTGAAATAATATTGACTTATAATAAATTTAATATATAAATTGTAATTTACAATATTAAATTTATAGTGAATTTTATATTAATTTTGGTATCAAAATAATACAATTAAAAATACTATTTGATATAGTAGGGATTGTAATAATTTTAATAATAATTTTTTAAAAATCAGATTATAAATTATTTATTATATTATTGAAATAAAATATTTGATATATTAAAGTATAGATTAACAATTTAAAATGAAATTTTGAAATTTTGATATAATTGTATTATACAATAAAATTTTTTTTAAAAAGAATAGATATAAAAGTGTTTTTTTTTACTTCAAGTATATAACATCTTTAATAATACTCGAGCATTGCCTATGCAATACACTGTACATGTAGCATAAATTATTTGTTGTTGACATAATTCCAAAATTCTTAAAAATTATTATATTATTTCAATTATTTATATGTTTTAATAATGACTCAATTAATTGTGTCAAATAATCGTATCAATTGTATTAAGGATTTACAAATTTTAGCAACATGTATACAATACTGTATATTGTGTAAACAAATTTGTGTGAAATTTTTGAATTATTTATTGTTTAAAATAGTATTAATACTATTAATAAATCATACCAATTCTAGATATTATAAGGTTACATAAATTTTATTTTAAGACTATTTGACAAATAAGCTAAAAACAGATAGATATACTTATATAATGTATCCAATTTTTGGACACAGTTAATATTAAAGAGATAATTGAAAATGCATAAGCAGTATCTAAATCCAAGAAGTAATTTAGTCTGATGTGGAATATTAATTATACACATAACCGATCTGACCATTCTGAGAGATTGTGTATGGAATTCCTCGAATTTGGTTCCACGTGTACAGAAATTATCATGAAAATTATAATCTAAGCAAACAAAGGGTAATTAAACGAATGTTAAATAACACATGCATCATTGAAAAATGAATATTTACTAGTGACATAGCAGTCCGAGCTTTTATTTTTTAAGATAGTAGCTAATGCGCGAGTAAGATAAATATTGTTAAAAATATGACTAAATAATTCAAAAGGTGATAACTCTTCCGCGGAAAAGCCACTATATAAAAAAAAAATGAGATAATGCTTAAGAATGAGTGAATTAAGAGTGAATTAATAAGAAAAAAAATGTAATTACCGTTTATTGAAATCAGACTCTGAAATAGCCATGGCGTAAGGACCAATAAAATACTATCAGAGCATTAGTTAAATTAAGATATTTCAAAGAAATAATGCTAAAAGTTAAGATAGAGACATTTCGCAAAGATATAAGTTTACTTGCAAGGCATGCTTGTATATGTGACTCTAAAGCAATAAGCATCGACATTAATGTCACATTAATATTTCTTGGCTTTCAAATTCACTCTTAATCTCTTTGACATAAACTTCTTAAACTATAAACTATACGTATTACCTTAATCACGTCAGTAATATTCAAGGGTAATATTAACGTGATAATGTCCTTTAATTTTATGTCACGTGTAGCATATTATCTCACAAAACAAGAACGAAGAGAAGTAGATAATAAATAATTTATTGTAAATTTTAAATATAAGGCACGGGCATACTGTAAGAACGTGCCTTATCTGCTCGTAATAATATAAATTATTATAATCCGGAAATTTCACTAAAAATTCGCCTAGGCGAATGTTACATAGTTGACGCATGAATGTGTCTTTTATTTTGGAAAAAAAAATCACTGCTATGGTAACTACATAACAAAATCTTAACAATATTCTTATAAAAAAAAATATCTGCTATGATAACTACATAATAAAATCTTAATAGTATTCTTATAAAAAAAAATAAAACCGTATAAAAAACTTAAAGTAACCTTAACTTATGTAATTCTAAGCTTTGCATAGATAAATAATATACTATAAATAAGTGGGCATATATCGCTACTTGCATAAATAAATCCTTATAAATATATATACGTATCATGAAGAAAGAGAACGAAAGAAAGATATTAAATGTCCCATCAATTTTTGAACGTATCAACCAATTTTGCGACTTCCCTAGCAAATTTGATAGCCTCGTGAATTGAAGACGTATCATTATTAAAGTTCGCTTTGGTTACTTTTCTGTCATCTTGTTGCCAACAGAGACTTTTTAAAGAAACATGCTTTGTGGTGAATTGATCGTATCCTCTAACTTCTTGTGTTTCTAAAACTTTAATGATTCTAAACTTATCGTTGCTTTTACAATACATAGAAAGATCGATGATTAGGATTATAATAACAACCAAAAGGTTGGGAATATTTAATGTTTAAGCACATACATACCTATAGCAATTTTTGATCTTTTGCCGAACGCTAATACAATCGAGCTTCCCTTCGAAATCGGATAATTTAAATAACATCCCATTCTCATCAGGAATTGACTTCTTCATTTGCAGGTCGTTGATAATTTTCTTTAATTTTGGATTGACAAACACGTCGCATTTTGATTTCACTATAAACCGCAAATCAGGAGTATTTGTTCCGGATATAATACTAATTATGGCTGTGAAGAATCGAATAGATAAGTTAAAAGTATTTTAATATTAACCTTTAATTTAAGAAAGAAAGAAAGAAGCTAACCATGACGTTTCATATTTTTCACAACTTTCTCTATTTTCCATAATTCTGATTATTACGCAAAGATAAGTATTTGAATCGATATTATTAATAATAAGTTCATTTAAAAATAATCTTAAAATTTACCTTCTTTTTTATCCCAGAATAACTTTATCTTCTTTCTTTGTTGATCACTATCCACGTAAATAATATCGATGCTTCTATTATCTTTGTTAGAAATGTCTGGTTTTAGCTTAAACTTTTCACTAATTATTCCAATATTCTCGTAAATCGAAGGATAATTATGAGTGAATAAAGTGCCAATATCTTCTGAATGTCTTTTAATTTCACAGAAATCGTCTACACTTAAAGTCTCCTGTGGGTTTACTCTATGAAATGTTTGACGACCAAAAAACAAGTGAAGCTGGATTTGGCATCTAGACTTGCAGGGATTTGTGCCAAGATCGTAAAGATCGACGAAAATTGTTTTAAGGCATTCATCTAATTTATCGAGAGTGCCAAATGAACCTGATCCTAGCGCTGATTGTGTGCGATATGCTTTATAAAATGTGTCCATTGTCTTGTAATTTTTGTCACTTGTTTTATCTGCAAGTTTATCTGTGCTTCTACTAGTATTAGGCTCTCCGATTCTTTCCATAATGTATTTTTGAGTACATAAGTGATTAATCATGATGTTTTTATCATCATCGACAAATTCGACGAATCGATATCTAATGTTTTTGGAGCCGAATCTATTTATATCATCTGTTGCTAGCAGAAATGATCCAAATGTAGGTCTGGACGTATACTTTAAAGCCGATTCCTCGATATGAATTTTTGCTTTCTTGCGTTGTAAGAATGTTCCATAGATTATAGCTTTCGTGTTTTCTACGATAGAAATTTTCGCACCCGATAATTCCCTAACAGGCATATACAGAATATACCTTAGTTTACTTTTTTATGAACTTTAAAGATAATTTAAAAATATATATTTACTTAATTTTCTTGATGTTAAATCCTTTTTCTCCAATGATGTAAGCAGCCGAACCATTAGGAATATTTACGATTTCCTTATTTTCGGTAACGTAAGTATGTTTAAAAGTCATCATTTTTTTTTATCTTAACGCGAATTTATGAAAGGAGTATAGTTTTGTTTTTTAAACTAAGAATCTGGGTACAATTTTAACTTAAAGTTGTAAGCTCTAAACCTCGGGCATTTATATAAAAAAAAATTTTGTAAAGTTATTGCTTCTATTTTAGTGCGTCTCCGCAATTAGGCTATGGAATTGTCTTTATTTTCGATAGAAATACGTTTTCAGTCTTAATTTGGCAAGCACTAACCTGATTTTCCTATTTACGGCACCTCAGGAAACAAAGTTATAACATTGTTTATTCTTTTGTAAATAAAAAAATTGTGTACGTAATTAAGCATTTACAGTACTGTATTATCGAACAATGCGAGAAACTGTAGATTTCCATTTCTGTCGACAAAGCGATACAGTACTTCAAAAATTACATCATCTGCATATTGTTTCTCCAAATTGAGAAAGATATCAAGCTCGCATTTCCCTAAACGCATACAAATACAGACATACAGACATACAGACATATCGATATGTATTCTATGCAATACAAATTTTTTAAAATTTCTTTTTTTTATTACTTTTTCAAAATTAAAGAAACAAAGCTTTTTCTCTTTGCTTTTCAATATCTACACACCCTTTATATTTCTTTTGTCTTCACTACAAGAATCTCACTTTCCTGTGTACCATTCTGCAGTCAACCAATAGCACTCCGCAAAAAAAAAAAAACCATATATAACTCGAAATGTCGACCACTTCAACTTCAGTTTCTAATAACACGACCGAAGAAAAGTAGGCTTTCACTTCAGTCGGTGGTAAATGATTGTGATCGGCATTTGTCCTACCCATCATGCCACAGGATGACGAAAAAAAGCCAAAGTTGTACCCATATGGCAAGAATGCACAACCTCAAAAGGTATGTGAATTTCCTATTTTGCTTCAAAAATTTTAAAGGCAGGATCGTGCACCTATTTGTCGAAATAGTATGTCTAGTGCGGTGAGGGATGTCAATTGGTATCGCCAGCTTTGGTGGAACACCGGTAACTTTCACCCCAAAGCTAAGTGGAATGAAACGACGTAAGTCGCCTATTTGATTCGACGACTAGATATTTCATTAATGGCTGAATATTATTTATATCCAGTCTACCATACGTGCTCAAGACTGGCGTGACGTTAGAAGAGTTTATCTTTCAAACAGATAAACATAATGTGAAGGGTTTTTGGGAGTGGGAAAATGATGGGACTGTTCGCGTTATCGAATTTCCCTCGTCATTTCATGAGGACTGTGTATCTACATTTATAAATAAATTGGGTGCACTATTTGACATTGTGGAGAACACTCCTAGTGATATAAAATTTTCTGGTGCAACGAGTGAGTATCTTATTGCTTTTCCTTTTGCTATTCCATCCTAATTGTGTTTATTACTCGTTATAAAAGGATCGAGAACACGTGGAGGAGGAAAAGAGCCAGATGGATCTCTTCGACCTTATGGAAAACCTCCGGTGCGTAGTGGTGGATACGATGGAATGGTACGAAACGCTTTAAATCTTGTTTATTCGCTGTGTTGATTTCATTGAGTTTCTAATATTGATGGCAATATATATTAGAATATACCCTGGCCCAATCTTGTAATAGAGGTCGCTTATGCCCAAGAAGAATGGGATTTCAAAAATAAAATAGAAAATTATTGGCTTGCTCCCAATAGAGCTCATGATACAATCGCAATTAAGCTAAGTTACATAGCAGATGATAATCCTCCAACAGAGATTATGGCAAGTAATGAGATGTTTGAATTTCTGCGCAGTACTCTTGACATAATTTAAACGATGCTTATTTTTTAATAGGCATGTCATTATTGCATAAATAATCGAACAGCACTCGCCCCTGTGATGGTATGTTATGTACTTTTTTAAACACAGAATCGAATGAATTAATATTTTCTCTATTAGTATGAATTCGATTCGGAACGATTGACCGTCAAGGCAATCCGCTCAACATTGGACCGGGGCAACGTGTAATCAACATTCCTCTCACATGCATTTACCACGGAATGCCAAATAATTTCGTCATTCCCTCCACTCCCCTCCCTAACCCAATTGCCCTTGATCTCTTTATTGCTCGGTTTTCTATTCTAAATCCTTAAGGTGTCAGTCTATTTCGATACACGTTATCCTTTTTGACTGTGATTAGTTCTTTTCTCAAACCTCCCATCAAAATGTCTTCATATTTACTATTGCTCTGTGTCCTAATATCGAATACAATCGGAAAAAATAATGAATAAAAATTTCGCCTTTTCTTTATACCTTTGTACCTTGTCTATAATGTTCATTCGTGTAAATTCATTATGCCTACGTATCTCATCCGGATTTTCTTTTTTTGACCAACCTGATATGTCTAGTAAGAATTTACATGATCGCACAGTGCTTATTATCTCAAATTCTTGCATTGGACATAAGTTTGAAGATTTTTCTATTGAAATTCATGTCTACACCTCAAAACTTTTGAACATATCTGCATCTTGTATAAACAATGTATTTGATCAAGTATATTGATTATAGAAAGATTATAAGACAAAGTTATATCTTGGAAATAAATAAAAAATTATTATTATTATGTCTGTCATTTTTACACTTGGGCAGTTATATATAATCACACATAATAGGTAAACCTTGAAATTAAATAATTTCTTCAAAATATAATAAATCACAAATTTTATTTACTTAATTTATCGAATATGTGCTACAGTAATATAAAAAATATTTATTTATTCATTTTAAAAAAAAAATCAAAAAAATAGTTTATTGATTTTTCATAGTGCGTTTTTTTTTGTATGTTTTTGTTAAAATTTTTGAAAAAAAAATAAAAGATTACCACCTAGTATTACCTTCCATTGCCTTACAAATATATTCTAACTGTTTTGACATACTTTCAATAAGTACTGTATATTAAGATATTTTATGTCTACTTTTATTCAAACCCTTTAAATTACTTCCTATAACTTATCCAAATTGGTAACTTTTATTAATAAGTGTTTTATTTGCCAATTAATCTTATTACATAAGTATTTAACGAAATTTAAATCAAATATACTGTATATGATAACTGCTTAAGTAATTTAATAATATTATTGTTTTGTTGAAAGATAATATTAGTTGCTTAATTTTATATCATTTAAGAATCTTTAAAAAATTTTCAATTAAAATTTGAGAATTTTAATTTCTATCTATTGTTTTATATACTTGTATTATATTATTAACTTTAAAAAAAGAAAATATTTTTATATTATGATATTGCTATTACTATATTTTTTTGTTAAAATCTCATTTTATTTATTAAATAATTTATTTTTTTTTATTTTTGTCAATATTATCGATTATTAAATTTATATATTTTAAATGTTAATTTATTGACAAAAAAAATAAAACCAGTTTTTAATATTTTAAGTTTTGTTTTTTAATAAAATTATAATAAGTTTAACAAGCTATTTTATTTAAAAAAAATATATTATTTTTTTTGTAATATATATTTTATTATATTTGTATTTGCTTTTAATTTTGTTACAAACTTTTTAAATTTATTATATCAAAATATTTATCAATATTGTTATTGTCTTGGAAAAGCAAAATAAAAATTATGCAATTTAGACTCACAATAAACAAGATGTTTCTATAAAATAAAAAAAATAGAAACAGAATAATATATATATATATATATTCAAAGAAATATTCAAAGAAAATCAAAAAAAGATAAAATTTACAATTTAATATATTGAAACTTTCAATTTTTCCTTTAATATACTTTAAAAACATAATTTATTCAATATATATTTTGTTTCAAATATTATTAAATAAATTAACATGAATAATTCAAAATTATTATTTCAGTTAATTTTATAACTCTGTTCTAATATTGGAATCAAAAAATAACAATATAAAAAAATTAAATTTCAATAAAAAAACAATAAAAAAAAATAGGAAATAATTATAATCTTGAAAA